CTTACAGAAGCAGGAGATTTCTCTTCCCCTGAGCGCTCTCCTCCTATTGGTATGCTCCTTGTTAGCATATGAGCACCACAGCGCAACTTATTGGCATCTTTTGCTGCTTCTCCTACTCCCAGACTGAGACTTGCTGTACAAAGAATGTAAGAGGCTGATATCAAGTCAAATCCAAAACTGCTTACATTTAACAAATACATTTAATGATGCATTAATAATCACAGAGCTGCATTGATGTGTGTTTTTATATCTACCTGGAAGTCAGCTCTAACGTAACTGAATTAAAAAGAAAGTCCAACTTTGTAAAGAAAAAAAGAATCTTTTAGGTAAACTGTACCTTACAAGAATTCCTAGCAAACCTTATTGTAAACTACTATTTCCCTGGTTGTTAATGGAGCATTGGCCATAACAGTTCAGCTGCTGAGTGCAAACTGGAGGATCTGCATGAAGAAATGCTTGGTTCTAGAGTTGTATTGAATATTTCAGAAGTGCCATTTCTTTATATGTGAGGAGTCAGGGATGTATTCAGTTAGAATTGCAGTAAACCTTTCAAATTAACTAAAGTTTACAAAAAGAGTGGCAAGCGCAGTAGTTTGGCCAAATCTTGATTTGCCAATAGTCTGGCTGTTTAAAAGTTATTGGATGTTCCTTTGGACCACTTACCAGTAGAAGAGTAAGTCCCATTGCCATATGTTCTCAATTTCTCACTATGGATCCATTTCCCAACCTCAGAGACCGTCAGCACAATACCCATATCTGAACTTTAGCAAGCCCTCATTTGGACTTAACTAGAACCCTGCAGCACTGAGCTAACTAGTGCATTAGTTTTAGATTTGGATACAAGGCTCTTGTCACCTGTTATCGATAGTTTTTATCCACACTGTGGCTTACATTTCACAGCCCATTCATAAAATGCAGGTGCCAAGTGATACCTGAGCTCTGTCACTGATTTCTCTCTGCTTAACACAGCAGGAAGAACTCTTATGTTGCTTTCCATCAATTGCTTTTGTGTGCCGTAGAACCGTAGACAGACTTTGCCAGCTAATGCCTCTTTATTTCTGACCACACCCTGCAAAGGAGACTGGCTCTTGATTGACAACTCTTATCTCATTGTCCCCACACTTTCTGGACACACGTGAGGTCACAAGAATGCAGAGAGCGGGAGTATGCTCTCACAGGATTCAGCAGAGGCACTAGAACTGGAAAGGGAGCTTTATTTTGTTAGATTCAGAAACAGTGAGATAAGAGCTGTCAATCAAGAGACAATCTCCTTTGCAAAGAATGGTCAGGAATGAAGAGGAGTGAACTGTCAAGGACTGTATCCCAGTTTCTACTGCACACAGAAACATGGGATATAAAGCAACATACACCGCGGGAGTTAGGCCAGTGAGCTGTAAAAATAATACAAGGGGAGACTACTTCTCCAACACCTATCCTTAATTCTAAACTTTTAACCTCCATAAATCTACCCTTAAAGTACAATTGACCTTCAGCTTAAATTAGCTAAATAAATTCTATGTGTTTTAAATCAAAAGGTGTACAAAGTATTACAGTTTATTTTCTTAAACAATCAGCCAAGCAGAAAAACCTTTCTCCTGCTGCAGAATGGAACCTTTGCTCTCTGTGTGGAAACAGTGGTTCCTTTGCAGAGGTCCGACACTCCCCCTGCTGAATCAGAGCCAGAGCTCTCCAATCAGAAGGAAGCCTAAGCTTTACTGTTTGCAGAGCTACAGGTCTGATTTAGCAGGGGGGCCTGTCAGACCTCTGCAAAGAGATCACTGCTTCCACACAAAAAACAAGGGCCCCACTCATCAGCTGCAAACAGGGGAATACTGCCCTACCAAGACTGGTGCAAATTTAGGAAGGAAACGACTTTGCACATGTTTGTTTTGATGAACCTGGAATGTACTTAGCTGATTGCAACTGAAGATTCAACCTAAGCCTCATCCTCTAAAAGTTAACCTCTTAAACACATACATATCGTCTCCTTTTATTCACAGATGTGTCAACATTTTGGTAATGCAAAAAGAGAAGAAAAAAAAACTTTATTCCAGTTTTGAGCTTTTGTGATATACAAAATGTGTGCATCAGTGGAATGATGGGCACAGCATAAACCACACAACAAGGCTGATTTATAAAAGCTTGAGGAAGGTTAGTTCATGGTAAAATTGTCAAATTCTAAATGCCCTTTTCTCGACCAGTGCAGAAGATTAAAAAAAATCAAAAGGTTGCTATGCCTTTCAATCCTGCAAGTTTATTAAAAGAAGCCCCAGTGTGGCTCATGGCCTGTTCGCATCTACACCTGCTTAGCACCGTAGTGCACCTGGATTGGTGTTTAAACGATGGGAGCTTTTGTGTACTGTTCTGCAGACGTTTTAGAAGAGTCGTCATTTTTTCACAAAGGCAGACTTCAGACGCAGAGCTGTATGGTGCTGTCACACACTTAGCTTTCACAGATGAAAGGCAGCTGAATTATTTTTATTACGGTACTTTGGAGATGGAGAGTCTCTGCTCACAATTGAAACTTACATCACGCTGCAGACAAAGTATAATGACGAACTAACGCTGAAATACATTCTTCAAAAAAAAGTTCTCTGAATCCTTGCTGAGTAGGGGAGTCTAGCCGATCCTGAATCTGTTCAGCTGGACATTTCCATGCAAATTGTGCCAGCTGCCAAGGTAAATGTTTGATGTAGCCTCCGGCGTGTGTGCTTGAATTAAATAGACACTATCATTCAGATAATAAAAATGTATAACATGTATTATATACGGAGTACAATAGGCATATAATGTATAAGTCCATTGTAATAAAAACCGTTACTGGTGTGTTTGTCGTATAGGTCTGCACATATAATAACACCAAAGAAATGGCAGTCACCGTAACCGTGATATATGGTTAAAGCTCAGCTGTAGCCAAAATAGTTTTTATAGTTTTAGGTAAATTAAAGGAGCACTATGGGGTCAGGGCTTTTCCCCATAGTTCTCCTAAGGGTAACGGGAGGACACAAACTAGCTTCCTCCCGTCACCCAAAGCTCAGTATACCGCGAACTACAGCTCGCGGTATACTGAGACGCCGCAGCCGGGACGGATCCCGACATTACTGTCTGGATCCACCCAGCTGCGTGAGTGACAGCTGGCTCTGCCTATCTAGAGGCAGAGCCAGCTGTACCCGCCCCCTCCCCAGTCCGTTTTGCCAGTCAGCACTGGTGGATCAGACAGGGGAGGGGGGGGGGAATCCCTGCAGGGAGCCATGAGTGACAGTCACGGCTCTCTGCAGGGGCAGGATCGAGAAGTGAGCGAGCGACAGTATGTGTTCGCTCACTTCCCGATCTATTGAGCGGACCTGTGACAGTTTCATTGTCACAGGTTGGTTAGAACTATGAGGCTGAATGATTTTCACTCGCCTCATTGTTCTCCTTTAAGGAACGGTTAGAACCTCTGTCAGGGTTGTATTGCTTGATACTGGAGAGGTAGAGTGCCAGAAGGAGTCAACGGAGAACTAGGTTATATCTAGGGTTGCCACCTTTTCTACAAGTGAAACCCGAACACTCTAGCGCTGCATGGCAATAATTTTTTGGGGGGAGACTATAGAGGAAAGAGCGATGAGAGGCATCCAGGAGAGGGAGTAAGGAGACTGGCTATACAGGACTACAAATTCCAGCAATACAGCAATACAAAATAATATGAAGCTACATACGTCGGCTCGAACTATGAGTTCACTCACCTCATAGTTCTCCTTTAACAAGGATTCCAATTCAACCCTATTGTTCCTTCAGAAGCTGCTAAGGATTAATTGAGCTGTGGTTGATTGGCTTACCCTCTCATGGTGCTTAATCCCAGGGCCAATGCCTTTGGACAGAACCAGCAGCATGACATCAGTTAACTTTTTAGCTGTATGGGGGTGGGGGGCATTCTTCCCACTGGCCACTAATGTAAGTGAACTGGAAATTATGGGTTTTAGCAAGGGTTCCTTGAGACCTGAAAATTATTTTAATGCTCACCCTCGGGTTAAAAATGTAAGGTAAGAAAGACTCCTGTAGAGCTTAAAGTCTTAAATATCAAATGTTTAGTTCTACACAAACTGTATTGTTATAAATAAAGGATTTTCTTGTTGTTTATGTCCACATTGGGAAGATGTCCCCTCACTTTTTTATACCTGTGGTACCGGGGTATGGGAGGAGAGAATGGGGGTCACCAGGACAAAAGGACACAGCCGTAAAGTACCTGTAACCCATAACTGAAAGACATTTAAAGGGTTATTCACAAAAGGGTGAAGAGTTTGGAGAAGGCAGGAGAAGTGAACAATCTAGGATAACATGGCTGATTTTGAAAAATTCTCCAATTCAGCTCACTTTCCAGTTCAGCTATGTTGTCCTAGATTGCTCCCTTCTCCTTCCTTCTCCAAACTAGTCTTCACCCTTTTGTGAATAACCCTGTTAGTTTGACAAAACACTGTGCCTCATAAATTATTGCCTTTGTTTTTAAAAAATACTTTAAACTTTTTTAATAATTTGTTGCATCTCAGTGCTGCTGATCTCCTAACAGCTTCTTTGCAGCAAAAAAGGTACAGGTAACATTTAAGTACATGATGTCCTGCAGCCTATTTGCGGCTACTTTCTGCCTACATGTACTCCAGCGATGGCTACATGGCATTTCTCAGTTCCCAGTTCCCAGATGATGACAACAGTGGACTATACATGTGTAATTTGTGTTGTACTTCTAGTCTCCATCGGGACCTCAAAGGAGGCAGAAGTCCTGCTCTACATGTTCCAGGTTATTGATAGGAAATACAGCATGTACATGACAGCCAGGCAACCAGTGTTTCCATAAGAAGTCAGCAATGGTGGCCTCCATGTGTCTCTCATGACAGGCTTCCTTTAAAAAAAAATCATTACTGTTAAAGATTGTTCATTTAGTCAACTGGAGATCTGCATTTTTCATTGTAATTGTTCTTTTCCTTGTATTCACTGTAACCTAAATCTTTCTTCTTTCCCTTTAGTGTTATGATTGGAGAAATTACAACGTGAACAGACTCAGCGCTTCAGAGATGCAGATGCTGGCCAGTCTGAAGAGGCAGCAAAATGAGGAGCTGGAGGATGAGGTGATGTCACATGGCTTGAGCCAATCTCAAATAGACCATTGCAATGTCAGCATGAGCACCAGCAGTGATGACACAGCCACTTGGAATTCTTGTCTGCCCCCGGTATGTGTATATGTTTTATAGATAAAAGCTGAAAGCCAGACAAACCATTAAATACACAGATAAAATAAATATAAGGGAGCCGTTTTACCTGCCAAAGGTTTTGTATTTATATCCATCCAGTTCTAAGATTTACACAGTCCCATCACACAGTACAGCTTTGTCTCCCAGGGCAGAATAACTAGTTTTGCCCCTCCTCCACTCTGTAACTGGACAGTTAAGGAAGAATCGGAAGACTGATGAGCTCATCTTTCTAACACTTTGCTCCTTCCTCCTATTAGCACACTCTCTGCACTGCAGCACACCTGATTGGCTACTTGCACTGCTTCTCCCTCTTCCAGTCTGATCTCTGTGTACAGGTCCCATAATAGGCTGATACCACGTCAAATTCAGGTACTAACACCATTAGCATTAATTTTAAAAAATATTATTGTTTTTATTAATATATGCAGAGTTACATTCATTTATATGCGTCTGGAATGCAGCTTTAAACTACCCTTGACCTGGTTTTAAACTTTCCAAAGGTATTTTACAATGTCTGCAAGTACATGTGAGAAATCATTGCTATTGTCCTTGTGGATCCTAGATCCAGGGCCCAGCCGCCCAACACCATCCCCATCATCTATAGCCCCTAGATCAGTTGATATGACACTAAGGTGCCTACTGTATGTGTATATATATCTCTATATATATCTCTATATATAAAACAGAAGGTTTGCACACTCAGAACATCACTTGAAATACTTTGCAATGTGCCTGCATTTTACATTTTATCTATATATACGGAATGCAGTATGGAGCCTGCAATGATAGTGTGCATAAGGCTGTAGAACGTTGCAGATGAGAAACCAATGCTGTCAGATGACCTGTTTTTGGTTTATATCTCGTCCTAGCATACTTTTCTACCCATTTATTACAATGAATGGGGGCTTTGCTTGCTTAAGAGTCCCAAACATAGTGAAGTGTAAACTACATATTTAAAGATGTACCTTATAAATGAACCAAATGAGTTTTAATTAGAAAAGTAGCTGCATGGCTGTGATTAGATGGACCTACCATATGTGCATGCACAAGGGCCCTGTGGGATTTACGGGTCCATATTTACCAGATATAGGTTGGGAAGGTGCTGGGAGCTGCTCACTTCTATGACACATGGGAATCTGGAGAATTACTAAATGATCCCCTAGCTGGGCTTCTGGATTGTTCTCACAAAAGGGCCCTTTGGAGACTAATACTAATACCCATTTATGCACCACTGCTGCATAAATGGGTATTAAACAATTTTGGAACTATACAAAGCAATTCAAATAGACCAAATAATATTTTATAGGTGCAATTCCTTGTTTTTAAAAATATATATAGTTCTACCTTTTAGGTTTTTAGCTTCCAATCACTCATTCTTGTCCATAGTGGGGGACACGTTTATAGTAAGAGGGTGGGCTGTTGATTATATTACGCACAAGTTGCTTCATTAATGTATTCACTATAGCCAGGTGCAGTTTGACAGCGAGGCTCCTGCTGGAAGTCACTGTCAATCAATGCAGCAGTGCTTGGCAGGGGGGGCATGTCAGTTAAACTGATCATGGAGATACAGATGAGCCGTGTGTTGGAATGGTGTCCTCCTGTATTGTCAAGTGCAATTATTCAAACTGACCACACCAGCACAGATCTACTTCTGGTTAGTTTGCATTAAGGTGCCCATACACTGCACGATTGTCGTACGAGAATCGCGGGAAATCCCACGATCGTACGAGAATCGTGCAGTGTATGGAAGGCGTGCGCCCGTTTCTAATGTACGGTCGCACGACTTTTGTATATCGAGCATGTTGGAAAACCAGCCAAGAATTGTATGATTTTCGGCTGGTTTTTAACATGATCGAGAGATCACTGCCGAACGGGCCGGTGTGCGCATGCGCACACTGCCCGTTCAGCATTGCAGTCATCGGAAGCCCGCCCCTCAGGGGGGCGGTCTTGCGATGATCGCAGGTACGATCTGCCTGTCCAAGGTGGGCAGATCGTACGTTTTTTTAAGTACTTTACAACCCTCGCAAGACAAAAGTCTTGCGAGGGTTGTAGAGTGTATGGGCACCTTAAGGATAAGGATTGTCAGGATCACCAGGTATTTCATAGAAAACAAATTAATAAAAATAAAAGAAAGTAAAGAGAACACATATATGGACTTTTACATTTGGGGTCAACATATATTTTACGTTTGTTCGAATTTATTGGACACATAGTCAAGAGAAATGGGGTCCTACAAAATGCCACATTGATCCTTGTACCACGACCTCTATCCTAGAACATGAAATAGGTGTAATTTTATAACTACAATGTATAGGATAAGGAAAATGTGTACTTCTATGTTGTACTACTCATTGGATCTTAACTTTTCAAGCACTAGGATAAGTTGTTTGATTGGCCAGAGGTGTTTCTATCTGTATGCTCTTCAGAGCTGATAATAGCCCGTGTTATTCAGAATGCGGTTGTTTGCTCTCAGAAATAAGCAGATTGATGTTTATTATCAAGGCGAGGTGACATTCCAGGTAGAAATGCTAATGCTGAGAAGTTAATGGAGTCTGTATAGCTAGAGGCCCTGCCTGTGATTGAAACATCTGTGTTGTAGCTGACATGTAACCATTCATGAAACATCAATCCATTCCTGTCATGCTTCTGTTACCATGCAAGTATTGGCCAATCAAATACATGGACGAGACTAGGGTGATTGAGAACCTTTTGTTGCACCCAAGCCTAAGAAAGATGTTTTTTCGAAGTTGCAATTTTTTCAGATTATGTTTGCTATTCATTTTTTTTATGTAGGGAGAATAGTGTTTGGATCAAACCCAGTCGGTTCACAGTTTGGTGAAGCGCCGAACAAACTAGCCATATTTGGCCAGTTCACCCATCCAAATCCCTGACTATAGAATGTAAACAAAGCAGCCGGGGATCTCAGGCAATGTCATTGTCCAAATAAGGTCATGATCATATTTGGTCAGTGATCTCACCCAGGTTCTCAAAACCTCGGCACTGCTGTAATGGGTTTCTGTCATTTAGCAGTGGAAGTGCGGCAGGTCGACGTGACGATGGGGAAACACCATCTGGCAAGTGGGTTGCCTTAATTGACAATTGATCTACATCACTTTAATACTTGATTGACAATGTATTTACATTGGGGAACAATGTTTACATTTCTTTGGGGGACAATGAAGGACTTGTTCATGGTATCTTTATTTACTCCTTACTCTTTGTGGTAATGGGTAAGGGGTTCTAATGTACCCCTGTAATTATTCAAATGGGGAGGGATTCCCACATCCTTTTGGGGACTAGAGAAGAGGCTCTTGTCACTCAACATTGTGGCTTTGCCTCACACCCCACAATGTTGAAAGGCATGTGGCCTTGGTGTGGTAAAAAAAGGTGGGGGGGGAAGCATGCATGCTTTTCAACATTGGAAAGGTACCAGTCCCCAAGAGGATGTACGGACTTGTGGGGAGGGGATTATAGTTCAATTATTATAATGGATAAGTATAATGACTTTATAAAGATTATAAGTGGGT